GTGGCAGCCTCGTGCTCTCCTCCTGCCGCATCTCTCTCGTAGCGTTTGTAAGCTCTTGCGGCGCTGTCCTGCGGTGCGGTACTCGCTGTGGATGACTTCATGCGTTAGGTCACCTCGTGCACGTTCTCCTCGCATACAGCATTCCTTAGGAATCTCTTAGTGTTTCCTTTTTAGATAATTAAATATGCGTTTGTAGCTATTAGCCCTGGTTCTTCTCATTTTAATTTTTCTAAACACAGCGCTTGAAATTGTCGCACCGAAATGATTTGCTGACTATTAACACGTTTTAAATGTCAGTGACTAACAAGATACTCTTTCACCCAAATGGTAACAACTTACCACCTTAGGCAACAGGCAAGTTTTTTTTTCCTAGCATAGATGAAGGAGGGACTTAAAATGAGGGACAGAAGTTTTGTTAATTCCAGAAAGCTATTTTTGAAGGTTACAATCCAAATTGGCTTTGCTCTAGTTACCAGTAAGGAGACTGTCGTGTTATATTTCGTATACAAGGTGTTGTAAAGCCCTTTATTTGAGTGACAGCAGGCAGCGCGCTGACAAAGGAGCGCCTGTGCAGTACAGAGTAACCTTTATACTCTGTACCATCGCTCGCACTGCTTTGAGTAGGACTGCTTTTTTTCAGGGAAAGAAATACTCTCCGCGATTCTGATGTTCTGTTTTCACCCCAAAAGGTTTCTGTGCATCAGCTACCCAAAGCTGATTGTTTTGCAGGTGTTGCTCTTACATCCTATTACAAGCCACTAGCAAGTTGCTGTCAGCACTCAAGTTCTGTAACAAATGTCTTCTGGGCATCTCCTGCACCCACTATTCAGCTGGGTTTTGGATCTTGGTCCTTTCGACTCACTACGTTGCACTTTTTCTGATTTCTTTTTTTTCTTTTCTACTTTAGGCCAAACATCCTTCAGACTGTGTTTCCGTTTGCGTTTTCTTTCTCGCTTTGTCAGGGTCTGCTTCTCCAGTTTTATGTTGTCTGCAGATGTGCAGGCAGCTTGTGCGTTACTTCCTTTGTGCTGAGCGGGGTGGTTGCACAAGGCTGAGGTAATGTAAAGCCAGAATGCTGAAGCTGACACATTTTCCTAGTGACCAAGAATGTGCCCTAGGTGTACAGCTGTTTCGCATGCAAAGGCGTGACTCAGATACAGACTTTTTTAGACAAAAACCTTTTGTTATGCTGAGAACATATGTAACAATAGCCTGGGGGGGGGAGAATAATAGAATACTTGTTGTTTTGTGGAGGGATGTGGGAAGAGAATCTGAAGATAAGGAAATTGAAAATTAAAATTTTATTTCAAACCTCTCTTTTTCACTGCTGTACAGGGTATAAAAATGTGTATTTAAGATGCTTCAGACAAATTCTTTATCTATATTGCAGGCACTGTCCATAATCTCTTCATGACGAGAACACAAGTATCCTAGCGAGCTGATCAACTATAATCTGAAATATGTAGATAACCACTGATTGAGCTCTCGTTGCTCCCATTACTACATACTGATGTTACATTTGGAGGCATCAAAACACAAAATGGGAAGAAACTTGAAGCTGGAGATTACAACCCTGCAGGGAAAAAAATCTCTGTGGTCAGCTTTCATTGAAGTCTGTTCATAGATACAGTGGAAATTGTCTGTACAAGGTCATTTTTAAGTGCTTGAGGCTTTATGCATGACAGGTACTTCAAGATGTCATTATTTGACTCCGAAGACAGCAGTGCTGTAAACGTTTGGAAATTTCTGGCGTGTTGCCCTCCACTTAGTCTAGTAAATCACTCCCATCGTAGTTGACTTGCACTTTACAAAGCCTGCGCTGGATCCTGTAGAACAGCAACCTGATGCCAAATCCTGGGCAAACGCCACTTTTCTAACTTAAAAAAACAAAAAACAAAAAAACCCCTTTCCAGACTAGTCAAAGCCACAAAACCGTTTGTAATCAACGCAGGCAACTAATGAGCCAAGGGTTGAACGTCTAGGCCGAGACTATCTGGAATGTTTACTATCAAAACCACAAGTATTGGAATGGTTTGAAAAGTTACATATCTGCGTCTTTTCACGCTGTTGGATTTCCTTAACAGCTTATTTTCCTAAAATAGACTTTAGTAGCAATATCAGCGTTAAACAAAAAAGGACATAGCTGGCTGAGTGAATGGGATGAACTAAACTTCGTCGTATAGGTCGCGGCCCAAGGAGACGGTACTCTCCCGCTGTGATCTGCAGTCTTGCCCGCTAAACCAGTTATTTTCCTTCTAACTCTGTGGGTGTTTTTTCCCCCCAGGAAGAAGGGAGTCGCGTGTCGGGGCGGCGCGACGTTGGGACGCGATGGCGCTGAGCTGCCTCGAAGAGCTGGTTAGAAGCACGCGGAGGAAAGGCTCGTCGGTACCGGCCGCCGGCGGGCTGTGACGGCGGGCCCTTGGCCTCGGCCCTTCCCGCGAGGTTTGCCCAAACGCCCTCCCGTTCCCTCCTCGCCCTTCAGGCGCAACCGGGCTGGCGGGGCCAGCGGTGTCCTGCCCGCCCGACAT